CATCCATCCATCCATCCATCCATCCATCCATCCATCCATCCATCCATCCATCCAATGTGCAGAGAGGCTAACTCTCTCAGGCTCTACATTTCTGACCTTCATTTCCACACTCAGGAAACTTACATTCTAGTCCAGAAAACATGTGGTTAGCAGATAGTCATAAAGAGACCATTTCCGTGTAACAGTTGCAGAGAGAAGGCAGGAACAGCTTTGGTGAGAAAGTAGAGAAGAGAGAAGCAAGAGTTCCTGAGGTCAGGGAGGGCCTCTCTGGGAAAGTGACATTGAACAAAGGGTCAGAGGAGGCCATCAAAGAGCTGGAGGAACGGCATGGCAGGAGGAGGGAACAGAAAGTACCGGCTCTGAGCACAGACCCAGCTACACTGGGGAACAGCAAAGAGGTTGTTTGAAGTTTGACTCCAGCAGAGAAAGGGCTGGAGAGGAATAGCAGGTGGGCTCTGAGCTTGCTGAGCCTTTAGTCCTGGGAATCAGTTTGGATTTTATTCGTAGCCCAATAGGAGGCAGAATTCTCTGGGATGTTTCTTTAAGATGTAGATTTCCTCATTTTAAGATGCAAATCCAAGATTGGTTTATTCTCTAGGGCTCTGATAGACTCTAGGAAGCTAGATTTTTAAAAGCTTCTAGGGGGAGGAATTTCTGAGACCCTATCAGATTTGGGAATCCCTGAAGGGCACCTCTTTCAGTTTTAAGAAAGCTAAGAAGCAAAGTGTTGGAACATGTCTTTAAAAAAAATCTTCAAAGCCATATTGTATCTTGGAAAATTCCTTTCTCTGACCTCCTTAGTAGCATTTGTTATGTTGTCTGTTTATTTTATTGTAAAGTCCCAGGTGGAGTACCCCACACCGGGGAAGGGAAGGCCAAGGCTACTACAGGAAAGAACAGCCTGCCAGTCAGGCAGTGCTGAATCGTGACCAGCCCTAGGACTTCCCCACCTTGAATCTCACCCAGCCCCAGTTACAGCCACTGCTCCTGGCCCGCTACTCCGCGCTCCCTACACTCAACCTGCTGAGCACTTCCACCCAAAGCCACTGTGTTTCAATTTATTCCCAAAGTCTCCCCTTTAACGCTCAGTGTTGCCTGTTGGGAGTTCACCTCCAGCACCTATTTGAGTGTGCTGGACGCTGCAGAGCGTCCAAGATTCCTTTCTTATGTGTCTACAGGCTGTGCTCAGCAATGCACATTCATAGATGAGCTCATTGAGCATTTTCCTAAAAGATGTAGGAGAGAATAGACAAGGCTTCAGCGAGCATCTGAGTAGACTAAGACTTTGGCTGGGTGATCTCTGCTAACTGGAACACAGAGATGGCTGCTGCAGCATCTAGAATCCTCTCAAACTTTTCAAAACAAATGGGTGTCCTCTTTAGCCAACGCATGTGTGTACTTCTGTTTTTACTGAAAAGAAAATGATGCTGACCGTTTCTCAGTGATCACAGTAGGACATGGCCGTGCTCCCCGGAAGCACGTGGGCTAGTGTGTGAGAGGGCACAAAATGGCAACAACACATGACTAAAAGTTGCAGTAAAGGGACCGTCTATAGAAAAGGGGTGAAGACTGCCCCCAGGTGCACTCCCTACCACACATCAGTGCGATTCCATCCTTCTAGTTGCTCAGATTCAAAGCTGTGGTATCTTCCTTGGCCTCCTCCCTTTCTCCTATTCTCTGACTTCCCACATTTGACAAGCTGCAAGTGGTCCTAGATCTGCTTTCAAAATATGTCAGAATAGGACCCCATTTCACCATCTCCCCTGCTGCCTCATTCATTTGGGTTTGGACTCCTGCAGGCTTCTCTTCTCTGCCCTTCTCTGCCTTCCACCTCGGGTCCTGGGCCCAGGAGACTGATCCTGCTCAAATGTGAGGCAGACCCTAAGACTGCTGTGTTGCAAAGGCTTCCTGTCTCAGTCAGAAAAGCCACAGGTCTTTGCAGTTCTCTCCATGTCTGTGCATGGAACACGACACCTGCCTCCATCACTATCTCCTCTAGAAGTTCTCGGATCTGGAACAGTCGCTTTAGCTCTGCATTTCAGTTTTCTCAGTTATAAAATAGGGGCTAATATCTGTCTATACATTGTTGAGTTGTTGGAAGATAAAATGAGATAATATTCGCAAGGAGAAAGAGCTACAAGTTGGTTCCCTTTCCCTTTCTGTTTCTGTGAACCAGGCTTCCAATCCTGTTCCCACAAAAGTCTGAACTTGTCTCCTCTGCCTCTGACATAAGCCCCAAACAATTTTGGGAAATCATCCAAGTCCCCATGACAGAAGAGAGAAGTGACACCAATCCTGTCCTGAACTAGCAATGATATATGTCACTTTCACTCAGGGTTTACTGGAAAGTTGGGAAATATTAGGATACCGATGAATGTTTGATCAACATTGAGTCTTTATCATGTTCTAACATTTTGCCTCATTTCTTCCCTCTAGGACAGACACCCAGAGTAGTCCCATGGTCCCAGCTCAGGATGGAGCCTCGGAAAAGCTGAGCCAGCATCTGGCCACCGAGGCTGTGGGCACCAGCAGCTGGGAGAGAGACAAGGCCTGCCGCGAGCTCAGTCCCGCCAGAGCACACAGGTGAGACACTACCCCACACCCCTCTTCAATCCAGTGGAAATGTTCAAATGGAAGATGCAAAAATGAAGTTTATCTTTCCAATCACACTTTCTCTCTCTCTTTCGCAAGTTCCTATTTCAGACCCTTCAAGCAAGTCAAAAGCTAGTAAATGTCTTATGTAGCACTCCAGATAGCGAGTATTTTAGGTCTGTGGGCCAGAGAGTCTCAGCCGTGACTACCTGCCTTTGTAGCACAAAATCAGTCATGGACAGGCTATAAGCGAATGAATATTAGCTGGGTTTCAGTAAAATTCAGCTGTAAAACCAGGGGGGCAAGCTAGATTTGGCATCTGGGCCACTGTCCATTGCCATAAATGGTAGCGTTCATCTCCATTTGAATGACTCAGTGCGACACTGGCTCCCAAATTTGACATCACCTGTCTCCTGAGTTCCAGATTCTTGTATTCTTTCCTTAATCCATTCAACCAGGACTTATTGAGCAGCTACAGAAAGGTAAAGTGACCTGCTGAAAATATGCCAACCAGTAAGTGGTTGACTAAAGGCCTAGACTCTGTTTTCTCTGATCTTAAATCCTAGACTTAAGCTTAAAACATTAGACTCTTGATGTTAGTAAAAAGGTCAATGCAGTCCTCTGATTTCTGTTTTGAAATGCTGTACCACACACATACAGGCCTGGTCCATCTTTGGCCTCTGGACAATTGATTCTGCCTACAATAACATTGTCCAGTTAATTGAGCACTAGCAGCTGGTTGGATGCCTTGTTTCTGGTTCTCAAATATCACGTCTGCTGCCTTGAGTCTGTATCTACCCTCCCACACAGGTAGAAACTGAACCCAGCATCCTTGTCACCAAAACTCTCCAGAAACAACCCCTGCCTCCTTTCATGGAATCAAAGCTCTTTTGCAGGTAGAGAAATGGAGGTCAGTTGGTTACAGAGCCAGGATTAGTTAGAAGGTTCTAGATTTGGCCAGATTTCCCCCTTGATCTCGGTTTACTGAAGTAGAGGTTCTAAGCCACACAGGACACCCATCTGGGAACGAGATGGCAGCTCTGAGTGTCACTGCATATGAGGCGTTCTACCGCTCAGATTCTGTGTTCCGTGGCAGGCATGGCAGACCCATCGATCCCTGAGGCTAGGCAGGGCTTTCTAGTTAGGAATCTGATTTTTGAAGAATTGATTTGGGCAGCCAGAGTAGATTTCACGCATGAAGTCTGCCCCTCCTCAAGGCTGTCCTCTAGGGCCTATCCCCTAGATGTGATTTCTTTGAGGGAGTAACTGTGAAGCAAGGAGAAGTGGAGCCCAACCTCAGATCTGGAGAATTGTCTGCAGGTAATGGAGAGGGTTGGGGGTGGGGCTGGTGAAAAATTTTTGTTTCCATAGGAAGCCAAAGGATGAAAGAGATGAAGGGGGAGGGGGAAGGGTGTGGGGAAGAGATTTTTTTTTCCATAACAGTGTCTCCAGAGAGCAAAGCAAATTAGCATATTGTTGAGATTTGCCTTCAAACCTGGATGCCAGTACTTCCTGAATGATCTTGGGCAAGGTGGTTTTCTTGCCTGAACCTTAGCTTCTATAACCATAAAATGGGAATATAAAAACTGTTAAAAAGGTCCAGTAGTGGCCCTCCCTGGTGGCGCAGCACTGCAAGCGAGCTGCAGCCGCTTCAGTGCATGGTTGATCCCCAGCCCTGGAGGTGACCACATGGTGCAGCAGACCTCTCCTGCCCTGCCCTCTGTTCCCCTCAGCAGTGTATTTCAGTCAGTTGGCCTGTTCTGTTCCCCACTCTGTCTCTGGTGAAGCCTCTCACCGCCCCTGCACCTCTGGCTTGTTCCCCAGTTCTGTATGCATAAATACTTTTTTTTTTTTAACTAAAAGGTCCAGTAGTGATTAAATCAGACTAGGCATGTAAAGACCCTGACAGTGGGTCTAGTATACAATAGGGGCTTAAAATATTATTGGAGCCAGAAGAGAAGATTCTGGGCATGAAAATCTGAAAAATGATGCTATCGTGTCTACTTGATTATGTGGTGACTGGACCCCTTACTTCCTTCTTTAATCTGTGACTCACTCTCTGGCATGATAATAACCACAAGGATGATGATGGTAATAAATCATAGTGCTCGTGATAATAAAAGGCATAGTGATTATAAAAATAGAAGCTAGATTTACTCTAAACATTTTTTGTGTAGAAGAACTGGGGTATAGGCTAGAGGTGCAGGGGAGTGAGAGCATGAACAGGCGCATTTACTGAACTACACCGCTGAGAGGAGCAGCAGGTGAGATAGGAGAGGTCTGCTGGTCTGCTGTGTGGATCAGCTCCCTGGCTGGGGATCAAACACAGGCCATAGCAGTAACAGCGCTGAGACTTAAATCCTAGGTCACAGGGAGGTCCCCACTTACTGGAAACAATCTGTGCTGGACCAGGCACATTGCATGAGTGAGCATCTTCTTGCAACAAACTTGTAACACAGGCATCATGCTTTATTTCTATTTTATGATGAAGATAAAAAGCTGCTGAACTAGGAAATCATAGAGCAGGAGTTTAAATCCAGGTGTGTCGTCTCTAGAGCTTGCATTTTCATGGCTCACACCCAGCCTGGGCCTATTGGCCACTGTGTCCTGAAAGCCTGTCCGGGTAACCAGGGCATACTTCACCACTGCACTGCTTATGTCACTGCGGGGTGCTTAACCTCTTAATTCCAGCCCCCTCAGGGGACATGCCTACAAGGATTGGTGCAGAGGAGGAAAGGGAGTGAATGCAGACCTACCTGGGTAAAAGCATGTGGGAGTTATGGAAGGGGGTGGTTACTCCTCCGCCTGGATTAATGTCCCAATTCAAGGACATCTGTTTTTAATCCATCCTGGAGCCTAGGATAGTGGTTCTCAAACCTGCCTTCTCTGAAAAGTTCAGGTTCCAGAAGTGAAAGTAATTCCTCCAACAGTGAAATCATTCCCTGTTTTACAAGACACGTTTTTAAATGATTTTTCTTTTTCTTTAGCATCTGTCCCTTAATTTTTTTCCCCTCAAATTCCTGGAAGTTATTACACTGGGAAGTGTTTATCTGAAATAAGATTTAACAAGAGGCTAAGTTATTTCATCCACTCAACGTTCTCATGTGGTTACTTGACAAACATTTCTTAGACTCATTCTATGTTAAATACTTAAAAATTTGGAAAGTCATTATCTATGCTTTCACAAACAGCCTATTTGTTGCCTGGAATGTGTCCTGTGCTTTGTAGCATGTATCTACAGTTAAGCAACTAGGTACTTAATCCCTATGAAATTTATTTTAAACTTGCTAGAACTGACTTTCAAGAATGATCAAGCTATAACTGCAGGATTTTCATTTATTTTTCAGGGACCTTAGCATACATTCTAATCACATTATGATTTTGTTATACTAGTCATAACAATGCAGATACTTAGAATAGAATTAAACATGGCACCTTTTTTATAATGTCCTATAAAGAGTTATGTAATTTCCATAAGATCAGCTACGCACATCAGTTTGGGAACATTTCTGGTTGTGTGAAAAAGCATTTAAAGTTGGAATAACACAAACCTTGATTCAAATCCAGCTCAGAGGCTCCCTAATTGTGCGGTTATGGCTAAACAAATTCAAACTTCTGAGCCTCCTGTCCTTCACCTATAAAATGAGATAATAGAAATCATACCTTCAAGGTGTTTTTGTGAGTAGCAAGGTACATTTAAAAAAAAAAAAAAACACTTGGCATATCATGATAAAAATATCCTTAACATATAAGGTTCAACTGAGTTGTCGTGTTTCAATTCATCCAACGAAAAAAAGCACATTTTTCTCCTTTTGCCATGGGATAGTGTTTAAAAAAAAAAAATCCCTGGAGCCTGCCCCAATTATAAAAGGAGATAACTTGACTTCATTTAACTGCAGCCTGAGCATTTGAATTTAATTGAACGGGAAATAATTATTCCTGAAGAGCAGAGGTTTTTGAGGTTCTGCGAGACTATATATGATATGTATCTCGTTACATTAGACCTCGGCAAATATGCTTTTAATAATCAGCTGCTACTTAACATCCCTTCCGTCTCCTATTAAATTTCCAGTAGGAACTACAGACACAGAGTATTTGGGAGAGAAGGGGCTGAACTGCCAATTAATTATTTAAAAAGTGATTTATTTACCAAGGTGAACCATTTGCAAATTCAATAATAAATCTATTAAGAAGCAGTTAACCTCTATAATTCAGTTTTAAATAATCAATTGATGTTTGGGTAACATAGAGTGTCTGTCTCATTAGATGGGCATTAACTCCTTATTTGAGGCACTTAATCTGAAGTGTGACCGAATCAGCCTTGAGGTGGTAATTAGGTATTTGCTATGAGGCCCTCAACCTCTGAGATACTGGGTCCTTCCCCGGCTGCAACTGTCCTATTGGGAGCTTGGGGAAGTCTGAGTCTTCTAATGTTGACTGTGTGTTCCCACAGTGCCTCCCGAGACAAAGACTTGACACCACCACCCTCCTCCAGGGGGAAGAAGAAAAAGAAGAAATCCACCAGGAAGAAGAGAAGAAGGTGAGGGCCCAAGGGATCAGAAATCTTGAAGATGAGAAAAGGATTAACAAGGGTTAAAGTGGGCTTCAGACCCTAACAGTGACTTACTGGGTTCTAATCCCCTCTCTGCCTCTTAACTAGCTGTGTGACCTTGGGAAAGTCACTTCGCCTCGCTGTGCCTGCTTCTACTTCTACAAAATGGTGCTCATATTGACCTCTTGGGGTTTTCTGAGAATTAGATGAGAAAATGGAAGTGGGAGCAGCTGTCTGGCAATAGTAAATGAACAATTAATTGGAGACATGGTCATGACTATGAATATTAATTTTTTTTGAGAATTCACTCTGTGTGGTGGATTAAAATGAGCTCTGTGATCTCCATGGTCTCCTTTACCCTTGACCACAGTCTGCCAGGCAAGCTTTATTGTCCCCATTTTACTTTTATTTTTTCCCATTTTCACTGAGGCACTCTACACAATGATACTACAACACTGTATTACTTTAGTGTGTACAGCATAGTGACTTGATATTTGTGTATATTGCAAAATGATCACCACAATCAGTTTGGGTAACACGCAACCCTTTACATAGCTACACCACATGGTTTTCATGTGGTAAGAGCTTTTTAGATGTAATATGTAAAAGTCCTTTTCTCTTACATTTAAAACGATTTCCAGATTTTCTTTTAAATTGCCACTGACTAGGCCACAGCGATGGGCACAGCTACCACAGAGGAGCCAGTGATCACACCGAGCCTCGGCGGCAATATTTAATAAAGCCTGCAGGGGGCAGCAGAGAGCAGCATCTGAATGATTAGGGTTCCAACTCCAGTTTTTTGGGAGACCTTGATTTGTAGATGACCGTTTAGCCTAACTCTCCTCAGAGAGGCATCACCAGGGAACGTGAATGAAGATGTTGAGTTCTAGTCATTGTAGGGTGAGCAGTGGATTTGGGACAAGTGATGATTGCAGAGTCCTAATTGCGTGGGTATACAGAATACTTTAAAGAAGGAAATCATAGGCATCAGGATTCACTCATTCATTCATTCATTCATCATCCATTCACTGTCCACTGAGCATGTGTTTGGGGATAGGCACAATGATTCTCTAAGAATCCAGTGGTTCTTAACCCTGCATTTCCCCCCTGTACACATGTTTTGTGTGACCTGCAAAGTGGTTTTTTTTTTATTGTCTTTTAAAATTGGTAACCAACATTAAAAAAAACCAATTACTTAGAAAATATGGGTTTCAGGTGACTTCTACTGAGATAGGAAGTGCTCTGGAAGCCCAGATCTGCTTTCACACTGGACCCTCAACTACTTTGAGTAGCAACCAATGCCTTCAGTGAGGTGATTTCTGGTTCACCTCAGTCCCCGCTACTCCTTATTGTCTTATAACCAACCTGCTTCATTCACTTATGCTATCTGAGACACCCTTACTGGTACTGAGTTTGCATCTCCTGGTCTATTTCAAGCTTGGTATTTGGTCCCTTGGAAATAAAAGTCCCAGCCAGAGATGATCAATTGTGTGGTAGAGTCTTGAACAATTATTGGTCTCAAGTCACTTGAACCTCGGTTGAAGTCACGATTGTAGGGCAGTTCCTCAGTTTCTCAGGTAATCTTGATGGCACCACTTATGCTGACCAAAGCCCAACAAGATCACCTGCAGAGGCTTGATCTTACCAGGGAGACAACAGGATAAGGAACTGGAGAGGTCAAAAGTATATAAGAGAAAGGACACAGGAGGGCAACTCTGAGGTAATGCAGTGATTGAAAGCAAATTCCTTGCAGTCAAAGAAGTTTTTGTTTCAATCTCAGCTCATCCAGCTGTGCATCTATGGACAGATCACTTCAGCTCTCTGAAACCTTCTCACTTTCTTTGTCTGAAAAAGGAGGATAGCAATTGTACATACTAACAAGTATATGGAAGGATTGAGTGAGATCACATATAGAAAACACACTAGCCATTGTTAAGAAACTTCATTAACAGTTAAGACACATATTAAGCTAATATCAATATTGATTTTATATTCAATTCATGTTGCTGAAAGAGCTGAGACAGTCTGGGAACTGGAGAAGGGTCTCTTTGAAACCGCCTTGGTCTTTAAAAGCCTTCCACTGAAGTGTCTCCCCTCATGGCAGGTCCCCATCTTATAGTCCATCGCCTGTCAAGAAAAAGAAGAAGAAGAGTTCTAAGAAACATAAACGCCGCAGGTACTGTCCCTCCTTGCAAACAGGGGGAGGGTGGAGTAAGATGGCCCCAATAGGTCATTTGAACGTTCATCTCATTTAGTAAAATACTCATGTGTTCTTTGTTATTTATTTGTTTCTTACATGATGTAGCACTCTGCAGCATAGGACTCAAGTCAGAAGGAGGATTTGATGATAAGGAGACAGCAGAGCCTCTGGGACCAGCCAGGCCTCCGTGAGGGCCCAGAACCCATGAGTACCTGACTGATGGGCCTGACCAGGATACCTGTCTCCCTAGGCCTTTTGGGAAGACAAGGCTACAGCCTGTTCCCATGTTGCACAGCTAACCACAAACAAAAGCCCTGTCTTACTCCTTATTCCAAATTCCCAAGAAAAGGCCTCTCTGGTTATCCAAAATATGTCATAGAGAGTGGACTCATGTTATAAAACATGGCTGCTGGGGACAGCAGTGTAGGGGCACCAGGAGCCCACTCTGTACACATGCACACACACACTCACACACATGCACATGTGTATGGGGAGGGGAAATGGAAAAATATGCTAAGAAAACTCAGATCTATGTCTTATGGAACAAGCCAACAGTTTGTACTTGGGAGATTTTGTACTACAAAAATCAGGTCTTCAATTTCTCTGTAAAATAAGGCACCCCATCCTCCCTGGACCAGTTTCCCATAAGCAACCATTAGCCAGAGCTAAGGGGGCAGAAGTCATGTCTTTAGACAAGGTGTGGGTGTTTGTGATGACTGTGCTTATCTGTATCTTCAACCTTTCCTACATCACCTGTCGATTACTTGTGCCATTAACTCACCACAACAGAACAAAACGTAAGATTTCTTTCAGGTTTCCCACCTCCATCTCACCCCAACTTTAAGGAGTGTGCTCACATCTCAGCCCTCAGAGCCAGAATGGCCTCAGTTGAATTAGTTTTCACCCATTATGCCCACACTCTGCCCAGATATTCCGAATAATGCTACCTGAGTCTGTGCTTCATCAAGACATGAGCAAGCCAGTGAGGGAAGTGATGTTCCTTTGGTGTTAGAAACCCCTCTCGGCCTGGAGTCCTCTGCCTCAGCATGGCTGTAGACTGCCACCTTGTCCCTGCCTCATGCTGAACAGTTCCTCCCAGTTGGGGATGCTTTGCCATGTCTGGACCTGGGGAGCCGAATGGCTTATCCCTCAAGGGCTTTTTCTCATGAAAGACTGTGCCAGAAGGTTAGAACCAGACTTGTTCTGGGGGTGGTACTTTAGAGGGATGTGGAGATCACTAAGAGGCTGACTGTGGTGGGAAGAAATTATGGCCACACCCCAGTTACTGAGCGCCACCCTACTCCTGACCCATTTCCCCAAGTTCCTGAGATGCCTAGTTAATGGCAGCTGAATTGTTTTTTGGAGATAGGAGCTGTGGGTGGGGGAAGCACTGAGATTGTTTTATCCCCATTTTTCACACCTGTTTTTTGAACCCCTGTTATATGTGCCATGAATGAGGACCCTGGGCCCCAGGTCAAAACCCAACCTCTGCAATCAAGTGGCTCATGATGTAGTAGGAAAGTGAGTAATTATAACGTGTAGAGGTCTGCGTTGAATTGAGACCAAGCTCAGAAAATCTTCCAGGGATTGAGGGCGCAGAAAGGAGGCCTCCAACCGGCCACAGCATTTGGGAAATGCTCTAAGAAGGTGACATCCGAAGACCCCTCTGAAGAATGAATGGGAGTTAACACAGGTGAAGCTGTGTGACTCGGAGCAACTTAACGAATTTGGCTGAGCTTCCCTGGCTTTGTAAATTGGTTGTTAGTACTCCATGGGGCTTCGGGGGAGTAAATATGATAGGATGGTGATGGTCATGAGGCCACATGTAGGGAGAGGAAAAATAAAAGGGAGACTGGGGACAGAGGATTCTTTATGTCCCCCTCATCCATCCTCATCCTGGGACAGGTTTGCTAACAATTCTGGGTGAGAACCGAAGTACTGGTAGGCTTTGACCTGGAAACTCAAAATGCAAAGCAGTGTCTCTCAGATAGCTTCCTGTTCCTGAAAGCTGAGAGGAGGAGGGTGATTTGGGGGACCTGCCCTGGTAGCATGACCACAAACGTACCGATACATTCATCCTGGGAAGAGAAACTGGGAACTCACCTGTATTTATTTTCTCCCCTCTCCTCCTGACCCCTCCTCCCTTTTTCCCTCTCTCCATACCTTGCTCCTTCTTCTCCTTTCCTTGCTCCCTCTTTCCCTTTTCTTTCCCTCTTTTTCTTCCTTTTGTCCCCTTTAACCAGGTCATTCTCTAAGAAGAGAAGGCACAGGTAAGAGTCTTGTCACCTCTGGCTGCTGGTTTCAGCTTTCTGCTTTCCCCACCAGGCGTTAGGCGGTTTCTAGAATCAGCTGTCAGTCCCCGGCTCTGTGTTCTTGGTGCTCCCCTTCATTTTCCTGGGCCCCAGTGTCCTCCAGTATGAAGGCCTACACTGAAAGTTCCAAGCTCGGTTTCCATCCCTCGGCCAGGGGCTGCTCGGCACCAGCCACCGCCACCGCCCCTCCTTGGAAGGTCTCACTACTCTCGCCAGACTCTTTGTTTTACCCCTGGCTGAAATCTTGGGTTGGGGCCTGTGGAGAAACATGACCCCCAGTAACTCCCCCAAAACTCCCCAGATCCTGACCTGGGACAGAGGCCACGGGCTACTGCATTGGAAACACTGGGTGAGCACACATAAACTTTGGGGTCCCGCTGTACGCCAGCCCGGTGCTAAGCCCTTTCCTTGTGTGTGCCTAGCTAATCCCTGTCGCAGCCCCATGGAGTGGGTATGTTTATCATTCCCATTTTACAGATGGAGAAACTGAGCCTCAGACAGGAGATAGGACAGGTAGCGTGTCTGTGCCATCTCTACCTGTTCTGCTAGTTGGAGCAAGACTGGCTGCAGGGGCCAGCAGCAACATGTTCATGTAGACATGTTCCTGTAGAGCCAGGACAGACACCAGGCAGAAGGTAGCAGAGCCAACATTCAGACCCACATCTGTCATATAGAGGATGGGGTCCCCTCTGGTAACTCCTTAAATAATAGCCACACAAAGAGGAGAGCATTTGCACGTGCAGAGCCGTTTCATTCGTTCATTTAGCAGCAACCAATGTCATCTGTGCCCTGAGCCCAACAGTCTGAGCAACCGCTCATGTCTCGACCAAGGAAACCTGGTCTTTGAAGGTTAAGGGAACTTGCCTGACGTCACACAGCCACTGAGCAAAGAGCTGGGACATGAACTTGGATCTTCCAGTGAGGCCCTGGCCTCCCCCAGAGCAGTCTCACAGCTCATCGAGACGGGATTACTGTTGGCTGGCATAAGAGCTCCCCTTACCAGGACTCAGGCCACAAATATGTTGTTGGTGACCCCCTAAAGTCAGTCTGGCTTCAGTTACCAGGTAGCGTTCCCCTGGTCATTGCCCACCTTCTAACTGGAAAAAAAAAAAAGCATAAAACAGGAACAGATACTTGAAATTGATGGGCAGAACATTGTGGAATCTATCAGAAGTGAAGCTTCACAGCATGTTGCACCCAGAACTTGGGCTCAGGACCGAGGCCCTGGGGCCACATCCCAGCCCCTTTGTGATCCTGGCAAGTTTCTCAGACCATTGGAGGCTCAGTTTCTACATCTGTAAAACGAGTTTGTTGACATGAATACTTATCATAGGGCCCAGCCTACAGCAAAGCAGGCAGGGCAGCTGTATCATGACCTTTATCACCATGCTTATTATTAAGCTACCGAATTGACCGTAGCATCCTGAGCAGCCCACTCTTGGACACCCTCCTGGTCTCTGGCACAAGCTTCTGGGTGAAAAAAATCAGCCAAGTCTGCTCTGGCCTTAGCAATGATCAGTGTCTGAAATGACCAGCAAACCCGCCTAGACCCTAGTAGCTATGCGTTCAGCTTCTTAACTACCTATTTATTCTTCAACTGGAATTTTGCACCTGTCCATTAATTGGCCATTTCTCCTTTAGCTCCTCTAGCCCAAAAAGCAAAAGAAGAGAAGAGAAGAGGCACAAAAAACAGTAAGTCGAGAGTGCCTGGCACGTGGTCTCCAGTTTGGGGTGATGGGGAGACTTGGCCTCACCACCAGGGCATTAGAGTCGACAAGTCAACAGGGAAAGGAGGATGCAGGTGGGGAGAGGAGAGGAAGGAAGGGGGAGACGTCACTGTGTGCGGACTTGGGCGTGCATGTGAGCACGGGTGGTGTGTAGGAGGCGTGTGAACGCAGGTGTGTTTGCGTGTGCATGGAGTGAGCTCATGTGAGTGCTGGCCTGGCGTGCCTGTACGTGCCCTGTGTCTGTCTTTGTATATGTTCAGTATCTGTATATACTGTAAATATCGGTGCAATCTCTCCATCATGCAAACATGGTGTGCGCTGTGTGTACAAATACATGCACCATGGCTACTGCGGCATGGGATGCAGTAGTGTTCACACCAATACATTCTGCATCCTCATGCGCACGTGACAAGGACGTGAACAGAGCGCATGCCTGGCTGTGCACTGTCGGCCCGGGTGCCAGCTCTGGGCACTCTGCGTGGGCATGCTCATGTGTCTGGGTGCATGATGGGTAGGCGGGTAGTGGGTGGTTTTTACCTGTACACATGTGTGTGCTGGTGTGTGCGTTGGTTAAGGGGCATGGTCACATGCATACACATGTGTGAGCGTGCATGAGTCCGATCCCAGCTTCAGGATCAGCATGGCGAGACAGGGAGGCACCACCCTTCACCTCCAGTCATCGGGCCCCAGCTGGTTCATGGTTTATAGCTAGTAGTAGAAATTCAAATCAGCCAGCGCTGCCTGTGGAGTTCAGATCCCAGCCAAATTAAAAGTAAATTTGGTTACAACCCACCTCCTTTATACACTGCAAATGTTAGCGCGTGTGTTTTCCAGTCAACTAATATTTTATCTCCCGCCAAGAAACTTCTAAAGTGAGGATCAAAGGCAATGAATAGGATGAAGGGAGTCGGCTGCTGGGGAGGGGGAAGAAGAGGCAGGGGTGCAGAGGGAGGGCAGCCAGCCTAGCTGCCTCAAACGGCCTCTCCACCCCAGGTCAGTGCAGAGAAGGGCATTTCAGCCACTGCGCACCAGAAAGAAGCAGTAGAGCTTCAAGTTAGCTGAGAGAAGAACTTCCCAGTCATCAAACTCGTGCAGTTCAAATCCAGAGGCCGTAACAGTCATGTGCAATGAGTGTGTGTTCACACTCAGCACTAGGAGTGACGTTCTCAGAGACCTCAGATCACATTCCAGTGGGGCTGCAGTGTAGACAACCACAAAGCCCACACCGCTGACCCCAGGAACCCCCAAGAGCACTGGGATCTTCACTGAGATAAAGGCTGGCTGCCGGAGGCAGCTGCCCTGCCCTGTCCCACGGCCTGGAAGAGGCCCAGACCGCTGGGCTGTGTGTACCAAAAGGCAGGAGTCAGGAGAGGGAAGAGCACGAACAGCAGGCACCCCAAAGATAACAAGGAGTTACTCCTGCCGAGTGCATGGTGAGCACTGCCGCCAAACAGGTGACCCCTGGAGTGACTAGCCCCTTTTTTCCTTCCACGTCCCCCCAGTGAGACCCTAACATGTGGCAGGAAAGAGATGAGCCAGGTACTCTCCTAGCCTAGAAGCTCACGGGACAGTGGGAGCAGGAGACAGATGTGGGGCAGGGCACGGCATGGCAGCAGCAGGCTGTGCCAGGGTGTGGGGGTCCAGAGTGCCAGGAAAGGGGGGTCAGTGGTGAGGGGAGGCTCCTGGGGTTGGGGGTGAGGATGGAGGATAAGTTGGGCGAGGGCTTCAAACTGTCCGTCTGTTTCTTCTGTAAAACGGGAATAAGAGCGGTCGTAAGAGTCGGAGAGCCAGCTGGGCTGGGCTGACAGCTGGGGGTGCTGGACCTGGGTTTGCACTTGACATCAGGGCAGTGGGAAGGGGCTAAGCAGGAGAGAGAAACGGGGTGAGTAGCATAGTGCAAAGCCCGAGTCCGTTGGGAAAACTGGGAAACGTCCCCGTAGAGCCATCTCTAGCTCCCACTGGCTTGGCCCAAACCGTCGGTACTGCCCGTTCGACTCAGAGGCCATTGCTGCTGCTCCTTTGCGGTCATTACGATATTACATTCTGCAGTTGTTAGAGGTAGTCATCGCTCTTTTTTCATGTTTACTGGTGATGTTTGCGATTCACTAGAATCTGACTTTTGGTCCCAGGCTTAGAATCTGGACTTACTTTTCCAGGTCTGAGCTTTCACAGGCCTAATTTACTCTGTTAATGTGTTTTATTTGCAAAACAGAGTCTTCAAAAACAACAGTGAGCCTCCATTTCAAACAGCAAAAGTTTACATAAAGATCTCTATTTCTACCTTCCTTTCAAGAGTGAGAAGATTCAGCACTATTCTGGGGGCAAAGTCACAACTTTCTTTAGTCCCTGCTCTCTGGTTGATGTTCTTTTAGTGCCTGATTGATTCTCCTTATGTGACAGACTAGTGAAATTGTCTTAACTTAAGACTCCTGCTGTAGATGACAGAGAGGTGACTTATGGAGGTGACATTCCAATTGTGGGTGTAGTCTCAGGCCTGCCTCCAGCAGGGTGGGAAGGCCCTGAGGCACC